CCCCCCCCCCCCCCCCCCCCCCGCACTGCAGACTTAGGAATTCAGCTGCCCACAAGACGTCTTCTGGGCATTTGAAACAAACCTCCAACTCCACAAGTCCAAAACCGAACTGAACTTCTCCCCACCCATCCCCTGCCACACGTGCCCCTGCAAAGGCTGAGTGCCGCACCTCCTGTTGGAGTGAAAGTCACCACCCTTGATCCTGGTGCCCAGGATGAGGGCCTGGAAGTGACAGTGACCCCTGCCCCCCCGCCTTGTAATCTAGTGCCGGGTTCTCTCTGTTTACCCCCTAAGCCTCTGGCAGACCAGCACAGCTTCCTCACTACAGCCACTGTGTCCTTGTGGGACACCCCCACCCCACCGTTCCCCACATGGGGCACAGCCATCTTATGGAATCATAGCTGGAATCGCTTGCGTCTCCCACCTGCCCTACCCCTGCATTGTTCTTCAGGTGAAGACGGAAGTCCCTGCCGTGGCCCCCAGTGTCCCCCAAGGCCTGTCTCTGCCTGCCTTTCACATGGTGCTCCTCCTTCCGTGCTGCAGGCCTTCCGGGCCTCCTGTGGCCGTCCACCGCTGGACGTGCTATGCCCTCTGCACAGGAGAATCTCCCTTGACCTTTTTGCTTAATTACTACCTTAGTCCTCCAGACACAAGTGGCTCAGTGGGGGCTTCCCAAGGAGATCCTTCCATACCCCCACAAGGGCAAACCGTCCAGCTGTGCTTACCCAGCTCGTCGGAGGTCTCATCTGTGGCACTTGTTGGTTTTTGTTCCCTCCCCACGTGGAAGCTCAGCCAGGGTCCCCATCTGTTCTCGCGGTAGTCAAGCCCCAGCATGAAGTGCAGCGTCGCCCAGCTTCTTTGGAGCAGATTCCTCCCTTCTAGGAATCAGAGAACTCTCCAATATGTTTTATAAAATTTTCTTCAGGATAAATATTATTAAATTTCAAAATAGTAGAAATTTTAGATAAAACTTTAAAATTTAGAAAATTTTAAAACTGCTATTACAAAACCAAGTATACTTTTTGTGTTTCTAATTAGCACAAGGAAAACTATGATTTTGCAGTAATGATTTTTTATTATCTTAAGGTCACCTGACCACACTTTGAGACCCTTGCTGTGGACAAACTTCACCTGCTGGCCCACGACTTGTTTTTGTTAATAAAGTTTTATTGGAACCCATTAAAACACACCAAGCAGCTGTGAGTTTGAGGTCATACTCCTTAATAAGCTGGTCAGTGTGGTCAGTTGAGTGTTAACGTTATGCTTTCATAGCTCAGGTAGGGGCAAGATCAGTATTTCTATGAAAATTAAATAGAATATTTCTATTTCCTTAATAAACAGCTCTTCATATCTTCTAGCTGATGTTGATTCCATTGATTAGGCAGAAATTCTTTTTTGTTTTTTTGGTTTTTTTTGAGGAAGATTAGGCCTGAGCTAACTACCACCAATCCTCCTCTTTTTGCTGAGGAAGACTGGCCCTGAGCTAACATCCATGCCCATCTTCCTCTACTTTATACGTGGGACGCCTACCACAGCATGGCTTTTGCCAGGCAGTGCCATGTCTGCACCCTGGCTCTGAACCAGCGAACCCTGGGCCCCCCGAGAGGCGGACCGTGCGAACTTAACTGCTGCGCCACTGGGCCAGCCCCTAGCCAGAAATTCTTAAAGAAGTTGTCACTCTCTGAAATATGGGGTTTATCTCTTGTCTATCACAGGGTGAGCCCGTGCCTGATACGCATATTGAACGGTCAGTCCGGGTCACTTCCCTGTGCTGGCACCCGACGCGGCTGATCCTGGCTGTTGGCTGGGAGACCGGAGAAGTGGTAGTGTTCAATAAGCAGGACAAGGAGCAGCACGCAGTCCCCCCGACGCACACTGCCGACATCACCATCCTCACCTGGAGCACCAGCGGGAACTGCCTCGTGTCAGGAGATAAGGTAAGCAGACACGCAGTGACCCTGCTTCAGATCTCGGCGTTTCCCTCTCCCCACCCTGGGAGACACACGTTGGGAAGGGTGTTAAATAGCAAAGTATTTGGAACATGTGAGTGCCGAGTGCCATGGATCTTGGCGGATTCATGGCAGATTTTGTTTTATGTTGGAAATAAGGTTTGAATATTTTATTCTACCATCCCACTCTGTGACTGAGGTATGTCTGTTAATTTTTAAAATGAACTTTTCCAGGTAACTTCATTGATAAAGATGGGGCGACTGTCCTTGGTACTGTCACTTTTATGGCACTCCTGAACCACCAGCTTCCCTGAGCTCGCTTCTTCATCGCCTCTGAGTCCCTGCTCCTAATTACCTAGCTCAGAGCTTATCCAGGGTCACTTTGCCCCCCAGGGGACATTTGGCAGTGTCTGGAGACATTTTTGTTGCCATAATGGTAGGGGGAGAGCGTTCTACTGGCATCTAGCAGGCGGAGGCCAGAGGCATTGCTCAGTATCCTACAATGCACAGGACAGACCCCACAACAGAGAATTATCCCGCCCAAAACGTCAGCAGTGCCCAGGTTGAGGAACCCTGGTCTAGACCTAATTTGATTTGCAAATGTATGGCAGGAATTTTACAACGTGCTCATTTATTTTACATGTTTAAGGTAATACGTTTACGTTTCAAAATTGTGAAAAGACTCTCCAACCCACCCCCCTCCACTCCACTGCTGCTGTCGACCCACAGCTTCTTAAAGTCTCCCCGGGGTTTCTTCAGGTTCACACAGGCACATGCAAAGGCATTCTTTCCCTGATTTGCGATTTGAAAAATTTCAAACCTTCAGACGAGTTGAGAGACTAGTACAAAGAACACCTATATGCCCTTCGCATAAATGTACTCGTTGTCAACGTCTCGATACATCTGCTTTCTCTGTCTGTCTCTCTCTATATATATGGGTTTTTTTCCCTTAATATTTGAGAAAGTGTCGCAGACTTCATACATACGTCACTTGTAAATACTTTGGCGTCCATCTCCTCAGAACAAGGACGTCCTTCTCCATAACCATAATATGGTGTCGCACTTGGGAAAGCTAACGTTGCAGCAGTGCTGGCATCCAGTACTCAGTCCATGTTACCATTTCTCCTGTTGTCCCAGTCGTGCTCTTTGTAGCTGATTTTGTCCTCATTCGGAATCCAGTCCAGGACCAGGCATGGCATTTGTCAGCTGTTTCTCCTTAGTCTCCTTTGTCCAGTATAGTTCTCTGGTCTTGTCTTTTCTTTCTTCTCTTTTACTTATTTATTTTTTGAGGAAGATTAGCCCTGAGCTAACATCCGTGCCCATCTTCCTCTACTTTATATGTGGGATGCCTGCCACAGCATGGCTTGATAAGCGGTACGTAGGTCTGTGCCCAGGATCCAAACTGGCAAACCCCCGCATCACCGAAATGGAGCGTGAACTTAACTGCTACACCACAGGGTCGGCCCCTTCTCTTTTTTTGGATCTTTCACGACATCAACATTTTGAGGAGTCCAGACTAGATATTGTGTAAAATGTCCCTTAATTTAGATTTGTTTGATTGTCTTCTCATGATTACTTTTAGATTAACCATTTTTGGCTGGAAATATCACACAGGGGATGTTGTCTCCTTGTTTTCCTCTGTTTCACAGAAGTGAAAGCACACGATGCTGTTCTGTTTCTGGCTTGGTGGTGTTACACTGTGTCTGGCAGATCTCCCCATATTGGTAAACAGTGAACTTCCTCCCCTTGTAACCTGCTCTTCATTATTGTCGTTTACTTCACCAGCCCCCACTGGTAAACATTTTAGCGGTTTCCAGTCTTTTGCTAAACATACAATGATGCACTGGGTCACCTCGTGCTTCTGTCATTTCGCATGACACATTGGAGTCTGTGGAAATTTAAAGAAATTCCTAGAAGGCATTGTCTGTGTCCCAGGACACGTGCGCTCGTGGTTTGTTGGGTGTTCCTGAACCTCCTCCATGGGGCCTGTACCAGCTCGCACCCACACCCCAGCGTGTATTTCCACCCTGAGTGTTGTGTCCGAATTCAGACTATTGCCTGAAGACTGGAATCTCAGTGGTGGTCAGGTTGGCCTTTCTCTTGCTGTTGAGGATGAGTATTACTTAAGAAAGCCGTTTCCATTTCATTTTCTGTTCATGTCACTGGTCCGTTTTTCTATCGCTTTGCTCCTTTTTTCCTGGATGATTTTTCTTCGTTTGTCTATTCAATTCCCACCTAATGACACTGCCCTGCCCCCAGATTCCTACTTCTTTTTGTGTGTGTGTATGGAACATCTGTTGCCAATCTTCCTCTATTTTATGTGGGATGCCACCACAGAATGGCTTGACCAGCAGTGCACAGGTCTGCGCCCAGGATCAGAACCCACAAACACTGTGCCACCGAAGCAGAGCATGCGGACTTAACCACTGCACCACGGGCTTCATTGGTGATCTTTTCCATCTCCCTGCTGTGAATGCTCTGTAAATCCCCTGCAGAAATGAGAGAATTTGTGATCACTGAATTTCATCATTCTTATCTTGATTGTATGAGGAAGCAACTCACAAAGCAGATTAACTCGGGCATGAAAGGAAACCCAGCTGTGCACTGACCAAGTACTGTGAGTCAGAAGAGCTAAGAAGAGAAATACCTAATCCTTCTAAGAAAATCTAAGATTGTGCTGGTCCTAATGTAATAACGGGCTCAAGCAGGAAGAAAAGGAGTAACAAATGAACCAGCACTCAAGCTGCACCACCAAGATGCCTTCTCCCCAGACTGGGTGTGGGGGTCTTGTCACTCCCCCCAGAGACCTTGCCTTGGTTAGGGTATGTTTGGTTACCAGTGAAACCAACCCAGACTTGCTGAAGCAAGTAGGTGCACTTAATCTGAGGCTGTTGGAGTGTCCCACAGTTTCCAGGGACAGGAGCACAGCTGGCTTCAGGACATCTGGAACCAAGAGTGAGGTACCGACAGATACATGTATATCTGTGGGCTTTGTACCTCTCTGAGGACCTTCCTGCCACAGACGTCTCTCACCCCGTCCCATTCTGTCCACGAGGCAGAGTCTCCAGCTGCTGGGAAAGGAATTCACCTGCTCCAGTTTCTCACACACACACACACACACTCACCCTCACCCCCACCAGCCTGCCACCCCTCAGTCCCAAGTCCAGCTCAGGCCAAATGCCCACATGTGCAGCAGCAGGGATGTGGGGAGATCCCTAGGAAAGGGACACCAGGTGGACGTTCCAAGGGGTGTCCATCAGAAGGTCCGTGGCCCCAGCCTGTTCTCAGAGGCCGAGAGTGAGGACCAAGTGAACCTGCACATGACAAAGAGCAAGCAGCTCTTAACAATTCCAGCAATAAGCTATTCGAGAACCTAACACCTTAACCAGTCCTTGGAAGTGATAGTATGTCACGGACAATCATATCTAGGACACTCCAACTTCACATTAGTCCCTTAATACATTAAACTCTTGCTCTTCACAAATAGGGCTGATTTCTCACTTTAGGGGTAACTTTTCTTTAGAGCCTTCCCGTGTAAGATTATGTTGAATAAAGTAACTTGGAAGGAATGACAAATGGTAAAGAGACAGCCCCGGACGCAAGGATGTGCCCTGCAGGAGGAGTGAGAGATGCAAAAACGTTTAGAGGGGCCAGCCTGGTGGCGCGTTGGTTAAGTTCTCACGTTCCGCTTCATTGGCCCAGGGATCGCCAGTTCGGATCCCCCATGCAGACATGGCGCTGCTTGGCAAGCCATGCTGTGGTAGGCGTCCCACATATAGAGTAGAGGAAGATGGGCATGGATGTTAGCTCAGGGCCAGTCTTCCTCAGCAAAAAGAGGAGGGTTGGCAGCAGATAGGTCAGGGCTAATCCTCCTCAAAAACAAAAAAGTTTACAATTGAGGAGGAGAAGCAGGAGGCTGCCACGAAGGAGACAGGACATCTCAGAGTTCATCTCTAAGTCTGGCACTTCATGTTCACATTTCTACCTGGTTAGCCAGAAACCTGAGAGGACACATTTGACTGATTGCATCCTGTGGCTTCCCCTCCTTGTGAGTCAGTGGAGGGGGTGCTGGGGGGCTGCGTATGTCCCTCTGTCAGAATAAGGGGTACGCGGTCATCTGACTGCGCAGAAATCACTGTTCCACAGGTACGGGGCTCTGAACATTTGCATCACACAACTTCTTCCCTAAAGCAGCAGCCTAGAAATCTGGACACGCTAAGTATGTTGTGATTATATTCAGGAACCTGGTTGAGCTCCCAGCTAGAAGCTTGTGTGCACTAATCAAGATCTCTGTAAAATCAGTTATTATGTTAAAAAAATGAGTACTGGATGATTGCATTTGTTTTAGATATTTTTTTTTTCTGCTTTGTCTCCCCAAACCCTCCCTGTACACAGTTGTATATCCTAGCTGCATGTCCTTCTAGTTGTGGGATGTGGGACGCTGTCTTCAACGTGGCCTGACGAGCAGTGCCATGTCCGCGCCCAGGATCCAAACCCTGGGCCGCCGCAGTGGAGCACGTGAACTTAACCACACGGCCATGGAGCCGGCCCCTGGATGATTGCATTTGAAGGGCAGGACAGAAGACCTTCTCTACAGAGGCTGTGTGTGTATAAAACTGTCAGTCACAGGGGATCGGCCCCGTGGCCAAGTGGTTAAGTTCACACATTCTTCTTGGGCAGCCCGGGGTTTCACTGGTTCGAATCCTGGGCGTGGACATGGCACCTCTTGTCAGGCCACACCGAGGCAGCGTCCCACATGCCGCAACTAGAAGGACCCACAGCTAAAATATACAACTATGTACTGGGGGGATTTGGGGAGAAAAAGCAGGGAAAAAAAACCTGTCAAACGCACAGGATCCTGCTGTAGTGGTTCTCTAGGGAGGAGGCTGGTAGTGTGTGTTTTTCACTATGCAAGCATTATTTTAAAAATGTTACTTAAAAAAGAATCACTTGGGCCAGCCTGATGGCGTAGTGGTTAAGTCTGCACGCTCTGCTTTGGCAGCCCAGGGTTCACACGTTTGGATCCTGGGCGTAGTCCTAGCACCACTCGTCAAGCCGCGCTGTGGCAGCATCACACATAAAATAGAGGAAGATTGGCGTGGACGTTAGCTCAGCAACAATTTTCCTCAAGCAAAAAGAGGAAGATTGGCAACAGATGGTAGCTCAGGGCCAGTCTTCCTCACACGCATACACACACAATAAAAGAATCACTAAACAGAAAGGAACCAACAATGTTTTGATTCTTCATAAAGCTGGCAAAGTCAAGAAGAATCCATTTGGTAATATGTACTTTTCATATTATATGTACACTCATGTGTTACATATTATGGTCAATCTTACAGAATTTTTCTTGGAGATTTACTACATAAATTGCTTTTATTTATTTATTTTTTGAGGAAGATTAGCCCTGAGCTAACTGCTGCCAATCCTCCTCTTTTTGCTGAGGAAGACTGGCCCTGAGCTAACATCAGTACCCATCTTCCTCTGCTTTATATGTGGGACGCCTGCCACAGCATGGTGTGCCAAGCGGTGATGGCACCCAGGATCTGAACCAGTGAACCCTGGGCCACCAAAGCAGAACGTGCGCACTTAACCGCTGCGCCACTGGGCCAGCCCCATATAAGTTGCCTTTAAGGCCAACGTTATTTGAAGATTATATTCCTCTGTACAATAAAGCGATATTCCCCAGCAAGTGGGGATATTGGAGTCAGTGTGGAATGAAGGAAGGGTGGGAGGCAGACTTTGAGCAGGAAACATGCCTGAGGGATGCTCAGGCATCAAAGCAAGGGAGCCTTGCAAACATCCTCCCCAATCACAAAGCCATCCTGGACCGATTCTGATGGCATCAGCTCCTCCTCGATTTGAACTTCTCTAGGATGGAGTCAGCTCCTCCTCGATTTGAACTTCTCTAGGACTTGTCTGTGCCATTAATTTGAGACGTTAATGACTTTAAAATTGAACATATGGTACACCTAGTACCCACATCCTAGTTTCTATTGGCTTCCTCCAATAAAAGGAAATAGGGCTCCTTGGAGAAATGGCTGATTCTAGGACTGGGGCAGGACAGTGAGCCCGGAGACTCCATAGTGCAAGAAAGTAAGGAGGTGCTCACAAAACCCGCAGTGACGGGGTGTGTCAAAGGGACTCAGGAGCCAGCCGAGAGAGCTCCCAATGGCCAAAGCTGGCACAATTGGAGCGAGAAAGTAAAGTGTATTGGATCATAACCCAAGGTAGAAAATATCCATGGGCCCATACTGCTGTAAATCTGTGATTGAACAAATAAGTAGATGGGGAGAACGACAAATCTCCTGTGCTGAAGAGTCCCAGAGAGTTTAGATAAATGCTCCAGGCTCAAGGAGGTAAGACATAACTCCCCTCCCTAGGAGTGAGCTGTGCATAGTGACTTCCTTCCAAACAGTACAGGATGGAACGGGGGAAAAAAGAGGACCTTGACAGTGGAGACACCTAACAGACATGCCCTCAGCCAGGAGAATAGGGTCAGCACGTTGAGAACATGGAGCTGCTATGATATGACTCGAAGGGCACTTGAGCTTTGTGCTCTTCTCCCAAACCCACACCCCAGTCAACGATGAGAAAAAGAGACAAATCCTAGTAGAGGGACAGTCTACAAAATCCCTTAATAGTGCTCAAGGCCATCAAAAACTGGAGAGTCTGAGGCTGTCCCAGCCCAGAGCAGCCTAAGGAGACGCGATGAGCAAGTGTCTTGTGGGTCCTAGAAGGGTCCTGGGGCAGAAAAAGGGCCTTAGGAAAAAAACGAGGAAATGCAAATAAAGTACCTACTTTAGTTAATATAATATATCAGTACTGATTCTGAGAAACATACCACATTAACATAAGCTCTAATAATAGGAGAACCAGGTGTGGGGTATGGGACGTCTATGAACTGTCTTTACAACTTTTCCATAAATCTGAATCTTTACGAAAATTAAAAGTCTGTTTTAAAAACTGTGTGTGTGACATTTGTTGTCTCCAGGGAGTAAGGATGAGGGGCCCCTGGAAGAGGTTTGCTCCTTGTTTGGATTTTTCACAGTGCAGACATAGTAGTTTCATAATTTTCCAAGAAAAAGAATAAGCGTATGTCCTATTACACAGCCGGTCGCTCTGTAGGAATATGTTTCCTCCACATGTGTGTTGGGTTTTCCAGCTTGGTGTCCTGCTCTTATGGAGGTTGGACCAAAGGGGTCGAGTCCAAGGGACCCCCCTGCTGAGACATGAGTATGGAAAACACCTAACTCACTGCATCTTCCGGCTGCCCCCTCCTGGCGAGTAAGTACGAGCTCACCCTTGGGGGCCGCTCGGGGGCACAGACGTGGCTCTTCCTGCCACCGGAGGGCTCATCGCCATCAGCAACTCGGGCATACCTGCGGGGACAACACTGTGCTACAAGGAGCAGCGAGGAATGCTGACTTCCCGTGTCACGTTTGTTTCCAGGGACCTCGTTCAGTTGGCAAAGGCGGCTGTGAGCGGCGATGAGAAAGCCCTGGACATGTTTAACTGGAGGAAAAGCGGCTTTGGAAATTTCTTGAAAATGGGATCTCAAGAGGGGCTGTCATTTTTTGTCAGCTTGATGGATGGTGAGAAGCTTAGGTTGGGATTCTAGGACATTGAAGTGTTTTAGGGGTGTCTGGTAAGGATTCTAAATGAATAGGTGGTGTTTCTGCTTAAAACAATAGGCTGTACGTGTGCCAGTCTGAGAGGGGTACTTTAGCTGGCCTCTTACAGTTATTTATCCAGTGTTCAAAGAATGGCTTCACTTTCTTCTGATAGAGACGAATTGAGCTTTATTTGTGTCTGAAGGGTTTCACGATGAAGCTGCCACTCAGCAGTTATATCCTGACTGCTCACTGTGTGCGCAGCGCCAGGCAGAATGACGGTCTCGACGGGATTCTCCCGTTGGCCTCCCGCCGTTCAGTCTGTGTGGTTACAAAGCACCGCTTACGTGCCGGGTGCTTGGCTAAGCTCTGGGGTGGAGTGTGGGCAGGATGTGGTGGGTTTGCTTCCAGCCTGCAGTCACCAGCCAGCCTTCATGGGTGGTCAGCGTTGTGCACCATCTGTCTTGATTTTAACCCAGCTCCTCTTTAGTGTGAGTAGTGAGACAGGCTGCTCCAGCGATAGCCGATAAATGCATATGCAGTTAAGAGAAAAAAATCCTTCCCACTCACATCAGACCTTCACAAGTGTGTGTGTGCTTCGAGAAAGAGACTGAGGAAGTGAGGCCGCACGAAGGTGAGAGGTTCCAGGAGGCTGTGTCACCACACAGAGTAACCTTGACGGGAAGAAGAGAGCAGGCAAAAGCTGGACACGGCTGGGAGCTTCTGTCCCTTTGAAAATAGAGATGCCGTTCATTTCAGGGGAGAAAGAGACAGAGCCCATGGAGGGGAACGTGAGGACGTCCCAGCAGGGGTGCAGGCAGGGGAGATGCCAGCGCAGGGTGCCCCCAGGAGGGAGAGCCGAGAAACAGCGTGTTGATGATGTTGGCCGACTGGAAGAGGGGTGTGCGGTGGTGCTGGAGTGTGCCCGTCCTGCCCCTCAGGAACTGTGGGCTTCAGAGGGGGATTACCCTATGTCTTTGTGCCTCAGCATCCTAATATGTAAAGTGGGACAGTTAAGAGCACTTGCCTCAGGAGCTCACAGGAAGCATTAGCTGAGTTAATACATGGAAGAGCTCAACACACAGCCTGCCACAGGCCCAGGCTGAGTCCATGCTCATTGTTGTTACCATCAGCCTCTAGAGAGCCTCGAACTCTTTAGTTTCCCAAGAACCCAGGGCATCCACTGGGACTCAGAGGAGAGAGACCGGGAGGGTGAGGAGACCCCTGAGAGCAGCAGAAGCGGACCAGATTCCTGAGAACTCGCAGGAGGTCCGGCCCTCTGAGCTCAGAGGCCTGAAAGAGGAACCTGGAGGTGGAGCAGGGGCCGGCAGGTTCCAGGGCAGAGCAGACCGAGGGCTCCAGGTTGGAGGGGCTGCCGCTTAGACAGGGCCTGTGGAGTGCGAGAGTGCCAGACGCCGACCAGTGACACACAGGACAGAGGGGACCAAGTGGTGGCTGCAGTGAGGGGTCCTAACTCAGGGCCTCCACATGTGATGATAGATGTGTGCCTCCTGTTAGTGGACCAAGATGAACACAGCGTTTCAAGGGGCGAATCAGGGGCGTCGTCATTGTGAAGGTTAGAAGCCTCGGGGTCAGTCGTGGAGGGAGAATCGGATCAGCGGAGACAGCACAAGTCAAGGCTGATCTCAAGCAGTGAGATGGCACTTACCTCGGAGACAGTAGCCTGTGAGGTTACATGCAGATGTTTTTTAAATGTTGTACTTGTAAATTTTTATAACAAAGAGGTTTATTTTGAAAATGTCCTTAAGTAATAGAAATGGCTGCTGGTGGGCATCGAGCCGCCTGGTGGACTGACCCCCTCTGCCCTCAGGGACAGTGCACTATGTGGATGAGAAAGGCGAGACCACCCGGGTGGCGTCCACAGAGAGCTCCATCCAGACGCTGTTCTACATCGAGAAAAGGGAGGCGCTGGTGGTGGTCACGGAAAACCTGCTGCTGTCCCTGTACTTGGTGACTCCCGAGGGCGAAGCGGAGGAAGTGATGAAGGTGGGTGGGGTCGGGGAGAGGAGCGCCGGCCAGGTACTCTCCAAGGTGGTTTCACCAGCCTTTTGTTTTTGTTTAGCAAATCTGTGTCTCGTGGCCACTCCCAGAGCTGTTTGATACCATTATTTCTTATGCGACCTTCAGGTCACAGGGGAGGGAAATGCAAAGCGAAGGAGACTTTCTGGGTCCTTGGACAGGGGGTAGGGGAGCCTGGGCTTGCTCAGGCCTGTGCCCCCGCCGTTGGTGGACTCGCAGCCTGTAGGCCGGAATGTGACAGGATGACTGCGCCCCTTGCAGCAGCTCCTTGGACCTTCACAGTAGAAATGAGTGGGGCAGGGGCCATGATTCTGTTTCCCAGGTGTGTGCAGACAGGGATTCGGAGGAGGCTCCCATGCCATCTGAGAGCCCTGGGGAATTGTCACCTGAGTTCATTCTGTCACAGCTACTGCTGGCCCACACGTGCCACCACCAAGGGGGGGTGTGCAACAGTCACCCTTCTTGGGTAGCAGATGTTTTACTGTGGCTACTGAGAAACACCGTGACATCCTCCAAGGTGCCTTGCACATCAGCCCTGGGCCCTCACTGATAGGAGGACACTGCGAAGGTGTCGGGGTGCAGCTTGCTCCCATGTTGGTTGTTGGTGATGCAGCGGGTGCAGCTCCCCAGGAGGCTGCTCATAGCTGCCCTCTTGCTAGGTTCTTGGTTTATATCATAGGATTCCATGTTCCCCAGAGAACTCTGAACTTTCCCTAAAGATACTCTTACAGATTCTGGAGCTGATTGGTTTTTCGGTGTCAGTGTTTATTTGGTCATTTATGCATCCTCTGTCTAGCACAGTGGTTGAAAACATGGTCACCGAGTCATGTGTACCTGGATTCAAATCCCCCCCTGAGCCACTCACTGGCTGATGGGCCCTGGTCTGGTTTGTTCTCTGCAAACCAGTGTCGCACCTGCCTTGGAGGGCGAGGTCGTGTCTGAACTCAGCTCTCTCGCTCCGCTTGGTGGTCACCACGTGCTCAGCAGCCACTGTTATTAACTCTCTAATGTGCCCAAGTAGTTGTTGGCTTCGGCCCGGGCATCATGGAAAGCTGGGGATGCCTTCCCAAGTGTCCATATTCGCCCTGCACTTCCTCTCCCTCCACTTGGTGAGTCTCCATGATGTCACTGCAGACCAGAGATTCCAGGCTCACGCACAAGGACATGTGGTCTTGGCAGGAGCCGCATGCTTCTTTTGGGTTGTTTGTCGTTATCCAGGTCAAGTTGAGTGGGAAAACAGGTCACCGGGCAGACATCGCTTTGATTGAAGGCAGCCTTCTTGTGACCGCCGTGGGGGAAGCAGTCCTCAGGTGAGAGCCCGCTCTGCAGGGAACACCCTGATTACAATTCAGCCTCTTCTGAGTAAATGCTTTATTGGAGTGTAACATACATACAGAAAAATACACAAATTGTGATCGCTTTTCACAAATTGGACACATCCACATAACCAGCTCTGAGACTGAAGAACAAAACACCCCAAGACTGCAGTGTCCCGCCCACCGCACAGGGCTAGCCCCGTCCTAGTGTCTGCCTGTGGAATCCTTTTGCCTGGTCTTTTTGAGCGTGGTATAGATGGAATCACGTATAAAGTTCTGTTGTGTCTAGCTGCTCTAACTCTGCGTGGTGTTGAGGGGTTCTCCCATGTTGTTGCTTGTGGTTGAAGTTCGTTGTTCTCGTTGTGATCTGGTGTCATGCATGAACCATCTTTTATTAACAACAACCCCCTTTGATTATGAACAGGGCATAAAAAACGGTCTAAATGTAATGACGGCATGCTTTTTATAGCAGAGTCCAAAGGGCCGTGTCTTTTCCTGATCTTTAAAGTTTGTTCTGCGAGTTGAACAAGACCCTCAGAGCGGAGGGAAATGCACTAACGCAGTCCCCTCAATGGGGCCTCCTTCTTCCCTTGTAGATTCTGGGACTTAGAACGAGGAGAGAATTATGTGCTGAGTCCAGAGGAGAAGTTTGGTTTTGAAAAAGGAGAGAATATAAACTGTGTTTCTTACTGTAAAGTCAAAGGTGAGGCTTCTTGGGCTGGCATAAGAGACAAAGAGAACCAACCTCAAGCTTTGCTCTGTGGGCTGCAAAATGATGACAGTGGCTATTCAAAGAATGTACATCAATTGTAACTATGTCAGTCATTTGAGAAAAGTCAGTCAAGAACAAGCAAGCGACAGTAAAGCTTTGTTATCCCACATGAGGGTCAAGGGGTTTGGTCAAAAGTGTGACCAACCTACTATATGCAGTTGATCTGTTTCCTCCTGAAACCCAGAGAAAAAGATAGCGTGGGAATATTTTTTTAAAAGTATGTATGTATATGTATGTGTATATGTATATGTATATAATACACACACGCACGTATGTATGTATGTACGTGTATATGTGTGTCCACGCATGTGTGCAGGACAGAAAGAGGGGATAAGCCAGAGCACATTTATGTTATGTCTGTGGGATGCTACATGCTGTCCTAACACTGGGGAAGCAGCACTGACCAGGCGTGCAGGCCCTGTTCTCATGGCAGACAGAGAGAAACCAGAGAGGACGGTGCCAACAGTACCCAACATGTGCACTGTCTGGCCAGGGAGCAGTAAGTTCCTGCAAACTCTCCAGCCTGGTGGGAAGCGGGAGAGCTACTGAGGGGAGGGCCCATAGGCTGGTGTTCTAGACGTGGTGGTCAGAGAAGGGAGCTTGCTGCTGTTCTGTCCCTTTTCAACTCAACTCATGTGACCTTTGTTTTTACCTGTAGGTCTTCTGGCAGCGGGTACTGATAAAGGGAGAGTAGCCATGTGGAGAAAAGTGCCCAGCCCCCCGAACAGCCGAGGAGTGGAGGGCAAAGACAGGTGGACCCTTCAAACCCCTACTGAGCTTGAAGGAAACATCACACAGATAAAGGTACAGCTCTGCAAAGGCGTTGGACGCACTCCCTCTCTGTCCTGCAAAAGTGGAGGACGTAATTCGCTTTGATTCTGTTTTTGTCAGTTATTCTGCTTAAGACTATATAAAAATAACAATAACTGCTGGCTGATGGCTCTTTCATTTTGACTACACCGTGGGGCATCAGTTGCTCCACAGTGTGGTCCCATTAAATTTGGGCAGGGGTGGTCTTTGTGTCCAATGTCTGAGGTTTGTTCTGACCCCAGGAAGGCTCCTCTAAGGTGTCTCTTTCCCTGGTTCTCACTAGTAAACTGTCTGACCTGCCCTTGAACTTATCACTCTCATGAAGCTACCAGTCCCCTCGTAATTCTCACCACCAAAACCTCCACTGTTTTCAAGAGCGTCCTCAGGCTTGAGCTCACCCACATTCTGTTTCAAATGAAGTCACTTCCTTTGGGGAACGCTTTGGAGCTCTCTGTTCTTGCCTTTCCCTGTGGGGAACAAAATCTCGGAATCCCTGCTCCAGAGCTTGGCAGTAGGGACAGCGGCCGGCTTCTCTCCAGTGACAGCTGCCTTATGAACAGGGAGCTGGGCGCAGTCTTCTCAGATTGCCTCTCCCAGCCTGGAGCCTTTGCACCGTGAGCAAGCTGGGGCAAGGGCATGGGGCCCAGTGTTCTCAGGCTGCCACATCCAAGGTAGAGCCTCCACCCTGTGAGCAGGGCCTGGGGAAGGAGGGAGCTCCTGCCTCTGTCCCGGCAGTTGGCCTCTCACCTGGTGTTGGCCTCTCTCACCTGACGTTGGCCTCTGCAACACACCTGGGGGAACAAGAAATGCTGGTGGCCAGCCCCTCCAGGGAGATGCTGTAGCCCTTGGCTCAGCGGAGGAGAGGGAGCCCTGGCTTCTTGGCCACACTGGCCCAGGTGGAGCTTCGTCACACTGAGCGGGGAGACAGGAGGGAGGGAGCATAGTGGCTCGGGTGCCACAGACTCCATTGTTCTTAACAGATTTAGTGGTCTTTCTTGAATCAGTTTTTCTTCATTTGCTTTATGCCCAATTTCCAGAGCATTAGGTGGTGGATTTTTTCATAATTTCTACCAGTTATGCCTGTTATGTCCTTGGGGCTCCTCACCCTGCTGTCCTGGAAGTTGTTCTCAGGTCTGCTCTGTGTAAAGCTCGCAAGATAACATTTACTTAATCCTATAGTAATTAAGAAAGGAAATTTTTGTAGTAAATAGTTTAGGGTTACCTTGAAGCAATTTGGGGAATTACTTTTAGGTCCTCATCTCCGGCTGTATATAACAATAGTTTCTAGATGAATTGAGTTAAATATTTTTTAAATTGTCAGAATAACTGCTAAAAATAGCATAGAGTATTATCAGATATTTAGAGAAAGTATAACTTTCTTGGATTTGAAATAATAAAAACAGTTGCAAAAGCAGAGAGTGACAAGTTTGAGTACATAAAATCTTCTTTCCAGCTGGGCAGTGGACAGCAAGCAGCCTAGAACTGAAGGAAGACTGAGCTGGGTCAGGATTCACTTTAGAGGCTGTAAAGGGTTTTACACCCTGTTGTCCTGATTCTCAATGCATATTGTTGTCTTCGTTTTCATACTGAAGTTGGCATGCAACTCTTCCAGTCGATAGGGACGTTTGAAGTGCTGTTTTTGCTTTTTTGTGGAAGAAGGGATCTTTACATGGAAAGCTGTTATTTTAAATTGATGGCTCATCTTACCTTTAGTGATATCTTAGAATAAAAGACATCTTGAAGAAAACTCACATTTATTAAAAAAAATATTAAGAACTTCATTGGAAACTGTGATGGGGAGTGCAGGTCGTCGACCTAAGAGTGGTCAGTAGAATGCGTGAGGAAGGCCTGCAGCCTCCCTGCTCACAGGAGAAGCGTAACTGACAGTGCGCGCCTCCCACTGTCCTAGAGGGCATGGAGAAAACTGAGTCAGTGGTGCGACACACCGTGATCTTCAAAGAGAAGCCTCACTCATGTAAAAGTGTCATTTCTTCCCAAGTAAAGCTACAAATTATATGTATATCCAGTAAAAATAATGGCCTTTTTTCCTCTGGGAGAATTCAACACAATAATTCTAAATTCATCTGGGAGAGCAAACAGCCAAGAAAAAAGTTCATAAAGAGTCAGAACTTTTCTATATCCTATACCAGAATATATCTCAAAACTATAGCAATTAAAACAGTGCATGCTTACTCAGGAATGGATAAATCTGTCAGCGGAGTGGAGTAGGAAATCCAGAAACAGATTTGTATAGATTTGGAAGTTTAATATGAAATTGTGAAAGTGGCATTTGACGTCACCAGAGGAATGCTGGCTAATTTAATATATTGGGTAAACTTGCTGTCCATTTATAAAAAATAAACATCCCTAAATTAAGATCAGAAAAGTACATTCTAGAAGATGCTCAACCTTTTAGCACAGATGTGAGCTAGAACAGCCAGCCATACAACTATCTACTCACTGCATTGCAACTCTTTCTTTGTTTTTTGTTTTTGTTTTTGTTTTGAGGAAGGTTAGCCCTGAGTTAACTACTGCCAATCCTCTTCTTTTTGCTGAGGAAGGCTGGCCCTCAGCTAACATCCATGCCCATCTTCCTCTACTTTATATGTGGGATGCCTGCCACAGCATGGCTTGCCAAGCGGTGCCATGTTTGCACCCGGGATCCGAGCTAGCGAACCCCGGGCCACCGAGAAGCAGAATGTGTGCACTTAACTGCTGCGCCACCAGGCCAGCCCCTGCATCGCAACTCTTGAGTGTCAGTAACTAAGAAGAAATAGTGCTGGAAAACTGTTTATGAATTCTCGTGATTGTAACACTTTCCTGGCTGTATCTCTCTTCTCCTTTGCTCACACTTCTGTTCTTTCTCCCCAACGTGGAAATGCAGTGGGGCTCCAGGAGGAACCTTCTGGCAGTGAACAACATCAGCTCTGTGGTGGTCCTCAGCGAGCAGGCCATGTCAGCGCACCTCCACCAGCAAGTGGCCGTGGTGCAGATCTCCCCGAGCTTACTCAGTGTGGCCTTCCTGTCCACTGGCGTGACGCACAGCCTACGCACGGACATGCACGTCAGCGGAGTGTTTGCCACCAAGGTGACTGTGAGGGTGACCCGTGGGGTCAGTCGGGGTCTTCGGTGGGGACGACAGAGCTGGTCAGTTGTTAGGGTCCTTCAGGACTACAGGGGCTGCTGTTTAATTCCTGTGATTCTTCTTAGGACGCAGTTGCCGTCTGGAATGGGAAACAGGTGGTGATCTTTGAGCCTTCTGGAGCCGCGTTACGAAATGCAGGTGGGAGTCTCCTGCGCCCAGAGGGAACTCAGCCCCTGCTTTATTTTCTCCCCATTAATGGGCGTGCTGGTGCCTGTGGTGTGGGCAGGGGCTGGCACAGGGCTACAAGGAGACCCTGCCTCAGTTCGCACGCCCGTACCTGCGTTTCCAGAGTCGGTGCTGCAGCTCTGGCCCCATGATGCCAGCGCCACACACTATTAATAGAAGCCCAGTCAGGGTGGTTGAGAACTGCAGCCAGATCTGGGGTCAGCAAGCCCCCCTGGGCTCCAGCACAGTTAAAACAGCTCAGAAGCAAGGCTACACAAGTATGAACAACTAGAGTTCTTTCCAGGGAAGGGGGTTGCCACATACTTGACTGTGAGCTGGTTCCAGACCACACAGAGCAGCAAATCCCCTGGTGTCCTGACCAAGGCCAGCCTCTGTCTGAAAATTTCAGGGTGGGTTGTCAGAGATGCTCCGTCGGTCTCAAACACCCCTCTATGTCCCATCCATCTCACCAACTGTCTTTCACTGGGCAGCCTTTATCCTCTGCTCTTCAGCACATGCCTGCATGAGTGACCAGGGGCTGCTGTGATGGTGGCCACAAACCGAGTGGCTTAAACAGAGATTTATTCTTTCACAGATGTAGAGGCTAGAACTCCAAAATCAGTTTCACTGGGCCAAAAGCAGGGCAGCACCGAGGCTGCACTCCCTCCAGAGCTCCAGGGAGGAATCTGTTCCTTGCTTCTCCCAGCTTTTAGTGGCTGCTGGCAATCCTTGTCTTGGGGTCACATCATTCCAGTCTCTCCCTCCATTGTCACATTGTTCCTCTCTGAAATCTACCTCCCTCTTGTAGGGACACTTGTGATTGCATTTAGGGCCCACCTGGTTAATCCAGGGTCATCTCCCCATCTGAAGACTTTCACATCTTGGGCCGTATAAGCTAATATTCACTGGTTCCAGGGATTAGGACCTCTTGGCTTTGGGGGACATCTTCCAGCCGACCACAGCGCCATCAGGACATGCTCCTCAGTTAGCTCTCTTTCTGCACAATTCTTACCTATACCCGTCCTGACCTTGGCCCTCACACCTCACAGGAGGACCTGTCATTGCACTGTTCCAAGAGTGATCCCCCCATGTGCATGTGAACACTCATCCCTCCCTGGGGATGTTTCTCCACTTGTTATCACCTCTCTCCCTCGTGTGATCCCCTCTTTTCTTCTCCTCTAACACTCTGTGGCCTAAAGTTCTCTTATAACACTTTTCCCACTCTGCCTTGTATTCTGCTGATAATTCATGTCTCTTCTAGTGTAGACCCCTTAAGGATAATGATGAACTTCTTATCCTTCCAATAGGACAGCATAGCAGGTGCTAAGATATTTTCTGTTTTGTGTGTGTCATCATCTCTCTAACTAGATAAGAACCTGTCTACAGACAGAGCCTAGGGCTAATGGCCTCCACAGTTTCACCTAAGATTAGCAGACATGTGCTTAAACAATTGTGCCATCACAGATGCTGTGCTGCGGGAAGTACCAGCTACCAGATGGGAGAAAAGAGGAGACACCGCTAGTGAGTGGTGCAGGGCAGGGAGCCCAGCACTGAGTCCCTCCACCAGGCCTGGAGCCTGCACGAACTGTCACTGCTAGCTGTGGCCTTGGGTAGTTCCTCGTGCCTCAGAGTCTTGCTTTCCTCATCTGCAAGATGCAAAAAACACATCCCTCACAAAGCTGCTGTGAAGGCCAAAGCGAATTAGGGAATATGTGTGGTGGTGCTTCTTAAATTCTGAGGAAGCATGAAAGATTAGCTGCTGCTGTCGTCATGTTCATCTTTCCTTTTAGGTACTTTCCTGTGTGAGTCTCCAGTGTTAGCAATGCACGAAGAAAACGTTTATACAGTGGAGCCAAACCGAGTTCAAGTTCGAACCTGGCAGGTAAATCGCTGTTCTAGAGCAAGTGGGCTGTGACAATACAGACGAGTAGAGCAGAGTTTAAAATGTCATCTTTAAATGAGCCAGAGCCTGATTATTGACTTCAGCCAACCAGATGAGATTCCCCCGACAAGTGCTGGGTTGTAAAAATGGATTCTGGGATAGCTGCTCCATCTGCGACTGTTGTGACTTCAGAAATTGGGAGGTAGGACAGGGACATTTTGCAGTGAAAAGGACTAGATCACTAGACCTTGAGTACGTGGAATTGTGAAATGGGAGGAAATGTTTGCTGTGCATCTTGAGGGTTCGGGGGCCATCAGTTCAGGACATAGTATCTTTGGACAAGCCTTTCCCTGGATGTGTCTGAGGGTGAGCCCAGGACGGGAGTAATGCGTGCCTTCTGTTCCCTCCTGATGGTGTGGAGTAAGGAAACCCTTGCCTGCCCACATCTCACACATACTTGCTGGAACCTGGAGGCTGACATGGTGTATTAGTTTCCTGAGCCTGCCATAACAAATTACCACAGACTGAGTGGCTTAAAACAATAGAAATTTACCTTCTCACAGTTCAGGAGGCCAAAAGTCCAAAATCCAGATGTGGGCAGGTTTGGCTTCTTCTGAGGCTCTGAGGGAGAATTCTTCTAGCTTCTGGTGGCTGCAGGCAATCCTTGACATTCCTTGACTTGTGGACACATCACCCTGGTCTCCGCCTCCATCTTCTTGTGGCCTTCTCCCTGTATCTGTGTCTCTCTTCTGTGTCTTATGAGGACACTTGTCCTTGGATGTAGGGCCTACCCTAATCCAGCATGGTCTTCTCTTGAGATCGTTAACTTAATTACATCTGCAAAGGCCCTTTTTCCAAATAAGGTCACGTTCACAGGTTCCAGGTGGACGTATCTTTTAGGGGCCACCATTCAGCCCAGTCCATGTAGCAGTGTTCTGGGTCAGGTTGAGAATGCCTGTCAGCGGCCTGCTTTTAGCTCTCAGTGCAACTGCTTTGTCCTTGTCAAACTTAAAAAGCAAATTTACCTGATATTTTTTCTTAAAATGAGTTTATTTGGGAATAGCCAAAAGAATTGCAATTCAGGATGTGCATGCTATGGCGAGCAACAGGTGAATCCAGAGAACAAAGGAGGGAGCTGCTTCTGTAGAGAAAAAGGGAGAGGGAGGGGCTGTTCTAAAGGAGAGTCCACTGGGGGAGAGGAACCGATCAGGGGGCAACGGCTGCTCATCGGCTGGGCTGCTGCTGGGTGAGGGGAGAGATCTTCCTTCAGTAGTAAAGTAGTTGTACTTCCCGCAGAGATGTAAGTGTCCTGTCCGTTCCTATTTGCTATAATTGACAGTGTGTGAGGGGGGTGAGGGCTCCCCCTACAGGCCTTCCCAACTCTAATCTATTTGAAGTTTCTCTTACTGGTTTCCGCATCCTGCTCTGAGTTCTTTCTGGGATCCAGTGTTTGATTTCTCAGGTACATGTCCTTGCCCCTTGCATGCTGCTCATCCGCCCCATTCGGGAGTTCCTGGAGGAGCTGCCCTGGACTTCTCCTTTCTAGGGGCTCAGACAATGAAGGAGTGCGCTAAAGCGGGACTAGGGTGGGAGGTACCACAGGGGAGGCCTCTGGGGGGAAAGTGCAGGCCAAGGAGCTGCTGGCCTCATGAGATCCTCAGCCTGTTCGAGGTGGAGGGGAGGCAGAGAGGCTGGATGCAAGGCTTCCAGAGCCCAGCAGGGCATCCTGTGCAAAGAAAGCTCACCTTCCTGGTTGCATGGGGGCATGGCTCTGAGGCCCAGGCAGGGCAGGGCCGTGTTACCGATAGATGAAGGAGGCAACTGTGTCAGCAGAGAGATGACCTGCGGGCACTGCAGTGGGGCGGGGGGTGAACAGCATGCTGGGAAGGGGCAAATGGTGAGCTGGAAAGAGGCGACAGCCTGCTGGGAAAGGAAGAACGGCCTGTTGGGAAAGGCAGAAAGGCATGCTGGGAAAGAGCAATGGTCTGCTGGGAAGGAACTATGAGCATGCTGGCAAAGAGCAATGGCCTGCTGGGAAAGAGCAGTGGTCTGCTGGGAAGGAACTATGAGCATGGTGGGAAAGGGCTATCAACATGCTGGGAAAAGGTGAATGACCTACTGGGAAAGGCAGAGAGGCATACTGGGAAAGGGTGCATGGCCTGCTGGGAAGGAGGTATGAGCGTGCTGGGAAACGGGAAGGACGAGGGTCGGCTGGGAAGGGTAGCCCAGCCTGCTGGAAAACATGGAGGTGTCTGAGGAGCCCGCCAGCCAGGCCCCTGACGACAGATGGGCTGGAGCTGGACGTCGGTTGTTGGCTTTCTAGCTGGAAGGCTTGTGTGGGTGGTGACTAGGAGGTAGTGCCAGTGTGAGGACGTGCGGGTGCGCGGCTCTCCTGTCTTTGAAGGCGGGAGTGTGTCTCCAGACCACCCCTGCTCTGCAGATGGAGACACACGAACCATGCTTGTCCTTGCTCGTTGTGTCCACCACGAGAGGACACGGGGCGCTGTGGCGTACCTTCCACTCCCTCCAGGCCTGCCTTCCAGGCGGCACAGGGCACCAGAGCGGCGGGGGATGGGGGGAACAGGGCCAGCACTCGAGGGCTCATAGCACAGAGGCCACAGCCAGGAAGGGGCTGGCGGCCCAGACCTGATGGAGGCTGCAACCGAGGGGACAGCACAGGAGGGAAGGGGAGGACCCTCCCCTGAAGACACAGTGGGTTTTGACGCCCGGGTGAGGGTGCGCTGGGGTTTGATTTTTCCTGGTTTTGTGTTGTTTTCTCCTGGACGATAACCTCTATGTCTACCAAGTGGCAAAGACAGGGGAGCTGGTGAGCAGTGAAGTCAGGCAGGAGATGTCACAGGAGAGGTCCGAGGGCAGGGGTGAGGCCTGAGCAGAGTGGAGGGAAGAGTGAGTTGGTAGTGAGCGGCTTGGTGAGCAGTTGGATAGCAGGAGGTGACAGAGAGGGAGGGACTGAGGACGTCCCCAGCTTTCTAGTTTGGGAGTCTGGGTTAAGCGTGGTGCCTTAAGATGGAAACTACAGAAGCAGAGCAGGTTTGGGGTGTCCTGGACATCCTTTAGAGATGGCCAAGAGCCCGTTGGAAATACGGGTTCTGGAGGTCAGGAGCTGGGTCAGGGCTCTGAGGCAGTGATTTGGGCATTTGGAATGCATCGACGTGAAGGTGGTCGTGGAGCAGTGTAGGAGCAAGATGAGTTCAGGTTTACACCCTGGGGGCCCTGTGAGCAAGGAGCCAGCAGAGGAAGAGGGCAAGTAAAGGAGCTGGGACCCTCTGCCCTGGCGCTCTGGCGTCATGAATGGGGTCACCCCTTGGCCCATTGGCCATCCCTTGTGGTTCTTCTTTTGATCCTATATTCAAGCACTGTTTGCTCATTCCACAAGCATTTATTAAGCTCCTATTAGGTACATCAAAATGAAGATCAGGTTCCTCAGCTAGGAATCCCACCCCCCCCATCCACACACACGCACACACCGGCAGCCATTCATCTCCCTACGCTGAGTTTGCTAGACAGGCTATGAGGGTTCCTGCCTCCTCGCGTGCTCTCGGAGTCTCTCTCTCTTTAGAATTAGGAGTCCACTAAGTTCTGGAACCCTACCCATCATCCAGCCTGCCTCCCCACTCTCCTGTGCACTGGAACTGTGCCTCACCACTGGGCTTAGCCCCACAGTGCCTCAGCTGTGTGCATCTGCCTCGCTGCTCTCAATCTAGTGGCATGCAGGGTGCAGAAGAGCACTGAGCACTGAGAATTGAGCCAGGAGCCTCTCTCAACTAGAGGAGTAGGTCAGTCCGTGTGCGAGACTCAAGGCCTGAGCTCTGCCCAGCCTGACTGTGGTCACTCTGCAAGGTGCTGATAATGTAGGCGTGACGTTCTAAAATGTAAATGATGTGAAATCGGTTCACGATTCCAAACCCTCCAGAGTCTTCCAGCTTTACTTTGAACAAAATCTGACCCTTTACCTCTTTATCTAACTCTTTGCCTGCACTATTGCTACCCCTTGGCCTCTGCTCACTTGCCCACCCTTGGTGCACACTCCTCCCACTGTAGCACTTCCCTTCCTGCTGCTGGGGCCTCCAGGTTCCTGGACCACACTCGGCCCTTTCCTGCTCCAGTACGTACCACTGCGTCTTCATGGAATGCTGGCCTGCGGCTCTTCAGATAGCTGGCTCCTTCAATCTCTGTTTAAATGTTGCCCCCAGACAAGACTTATTTCTCGAACATTTTAGTGAAGTATGGCATACATACAGGAAAGTAGGTGTGTCATGTGTAAGTATATATACAGCTCAGCGAGTTTTCACAAATGGAACATACCCGTGATGTAACTACCATCCCTTTGCCTCGCCAGCCTCTCCACCCACATCAGGGGCTTTCAGATAAGGCCTCTGCAGACAGGGCCTCTTGAACCTGAGCAGTTGGAAGGCGCCGTGTCACCACCCTTTGCATTTTTCCATTTTAGCTTCCTGTTTGTCACCTCTAACACTTTCTCAGATTGTTGAGGTTTTGTGTATATTTGCTTGTTGACCTAGCTGCGTCTGTCTGCCCCTCTGGACTGTAAGCACCAGAGACCCCCAAGCACCAGAGGACTCCCCCATGTTGCCTTAGATCCAGTGAGCACTGGGCACACACTCAGCCAGCGGGAGCATTTGTTGAGTGTGCGCGTGGAGTGTACGAGATTATCTGTGAAGGAGGTTTAGTAACAAAAGTGGAATGCTGCACAAGCTGCTTTCCTGACTTCCTTGTTCTTCCCTTTTCCTCAGGGAACTGTGAAGCAACTCTTGCTTTTCTCCGAGACGGAGGGGAATCCGTGCTTCTTTGACATCTGTGGAAATTTCCTGGTTGTAGGGACAGACTTGGCTCACTTTAAAAGTTTTGATCTTTCCCGAAGGTAAGAATTTTGTCCAAATGAAAGTGTTACGTTTTGAAAGTGAGTCAGGAGACCATGTGGTGGGTAGCAGATGGATAAGAGCTAGAGAACAGTCTATGTCCTCGTTTCAGCATTAACGTGCCACTTAGTTTTGTTGATTTTTTTTTTTTTTCCTTTTTCTCCCCAAAGCCCCCCGGTATGTAGTTGTATATTCTTCCTTGTGGGTCCTTCTAGTTGTGGCATGCGGCCTCATGGCACCTCAGTGTGGCCTGATGAGCAGTGCCATGTCCGCGCCCAGGATTCGAACCAACGAAACACTGGGCCGCCTGCAGCGCAGCACGCGAACTTAACCGCTCGGCCACGGGGCCAGCCCCTGTGCCACTTAGTTTTGTGAAGTGCCTTATGTCTTAGCTTGAATTCTTCATCTTGGCTTGATGGGGAAGGGAGCAGCACAGCGGAGTTTTTAGGGTGGTGAAACTTTTCTGTGTGATAGATACGTGACACTGTGCATTTGTCAAAACCCTTAGAACTTTACAGCACAAAGTGAACCTTAAGGTATGCAAATTTTAAAATTTTTTAAGTTAGTGACTCTCAGCCTGGAATGCAGAAGGTGACAGAACAGTCGAGCTGATCACCGTGGGTGACAGCCTCACTGGAGGGGTGGGAACAAAGGGGCCACCCTACGTCACTATGGGAATGGGCGCAACTGTGAGACTGTGGGCAAACCTGGCACAGCTCTGTGCTCTGGTTGATGGAGTTCATCCCGCAGGGGACAGGGGTCGGTTCCCACACCGCCGCACAGGACGTGAGAAGTGCAGGATTCAGGCAGTGGGTGGAGAGGGGTGAGAGGTCGCAGATAAGGGGAGGAGGCCGGAATGATCCGCATGGTGATGGATCAGAGCCGGAGACTTGAGTCTGAAGTCGTGTTCAGCTTCATGTCAACAAAGACGGATCTGCATAAAGCTGTGGACAGATCCGTGCACATACAGCAGGGAGCTCGCACACAGCCCTCGCTCTGTCGGCCGAGGGCCTCGAGGCGGTGACACCCCAAGAGCGACAGGCACACCCGGTGCCCAGACCTGCGCTCCTAGAGGCATCCTCCATGGATGGGAGCCTGGCTCCTTGGAGAACGGCTGACACCAGGACCAGGGCAGGACGTGCACAGGAGGAGCCCGGAGCCTGAGAAACTGTCCTGGCCCAGAGGAGCCCAGGGAGACGAGATATTTAAATGTCGTGTGCGGCCTGGATGGATCCTGGGACAGAGAGAGGACTTTAGGGGAAAACCGAGGGAATGTGGATTAAAAAGAAAAGTAAAAAAACCATCCTGAGCTACCCCTGCACATGCAGTACTGTTTGTAATGGCAACAAACTAGCAGGGCCATCAGGGCACTAGTTACATATATGTGGTTAATTCACACATGGAAAACTGCAACTGTAGCAGAGGCTAGCGGAAGGAAGGATCACTGAAACCTGCTGTGAGGGCAAGTGCAGGGTGCAGGGTGCGGGGCAGCGTTTTTGGTGAGCCACCTTCTGTGTTAGAACAGGAAGGGGGTGCAAACCCATATTCATATTTATTCATAAAAACAGGAGAATTTGAAAAACTCAGCCACACAAATATCAAAGCATTATGTCGTGCACCTGAAACTGTATAATGTTATATGTCAGTTATACCCCAATAAAGAAAAAAATTTCCAAATTAAAAGTGAAAACACACCCAGTAGCCTGAGCTTGGCGCATGACCTCCAGGGAGCGAGCAGCTGGGCCAAGCGGAACTCAGAGTCCCGGGAACCAAGGTTTCAGGTCCTCAACCTGCCGCCCGCCGGGAATGCTGAGTGGCAGCTGTGCACAGAGGTGGCCCTGGTTTGCACTGAGACCCTGTGTTCCCCGTGCAGGGAGGCGAAAGTGCACTGCAACTGCAAGAGCCTGGCTGAGCTGGTGCCCGGTGCAGGGGGCATGGCGTCGCTGCGATGTAATGCCAATGGCAGCAAGATCAGCATCCTCCTCAGCAAGGTGAGCCCGCCTCTGCCCCTCCTCCACCTCCTCCCTCGAGGCTCCCGCAGCGCTCACGGGATTGCTCTGCCTTTCTGGCTGGGCCACCTTCACATGACTTTCCAGTCCACTCCCGTCTGCGTCTTCGTGTCCCAGCCTCTCTGGTCAGCCCCTTCGTCATCCTCCCCGCTGCCTGCTCCTGCCCTCTCCTCCTGTGCTGCCCTTGCCCTCCCCGCTACGCAGCCCTCGTGTCCCCATCTTTCTTCGTGTTTTGTTTCACGGGAAGCAGTGGTGCTTCACAGAGCCCCTCAGCTCTCCTCTTTTCTGTCTCTTCATCTCCCAACTAAATTCTCTTGGCACGAGGAGGGTGACGAGGGCTGTTGAATGTCACTTGAGCCTCATGCCTGGAGGAGTGGAGTGACAGAGTGGCGGGGGCGTGAAGGAGGCCAGTGACAGCCCCATGGTAAGGGTCTGAAGGGGAGGTGACGTGGGCATTCGTTTGTTTGCTTTCTGATTCATTTGTTCATGCTCATTCATTCATTCATTGATTCATTGAAGAGTTGATCGTTGATTGCCCTCCGTGTACCAGGCACTTTGCTGGGCACTGTAGATTCAAGGCGATGGGTCAGACAGAGGACTCAGCCCCTCCCCTGTGGACGGCAGACATCAGTCAGAGAGTGGGGCAAATGAGTGCTTTTTTGCGATGCTGGGGGGAGCTGGGAGGAGAGGTGTGCAGTGCTGGGAGAGCGAGTAGCAGGTAGAATCATTGCCAGGAAGGCCGGGGAGGAAGTGATGGTGATGGTTGAGCCAAGCTATGAAATCGCCAGGCGAGGGTGCAGCAGGGGAGCAGCCCAGCCAAGGCACCCAGAACACGGGCCTGTCAGCAGGAGCCTGCCTGCGCCGAGGATCTGCCTTCGCTGGCAGAGGCGCGCGATTGGTGGGCCATCACACAGGGCCGACCTTGACACAGGGGTAGAGGCAGGAGCCTGACATCGTAGCACCCTTCTGAGATTGTTTCTAGACGTTGGTGGGTTAAGGGGGGAGGGGTGCAGGTCCCCTTGGTGCCCATCACCACCGCCCCCAGGGTTTGGGGATTGACCGGCCGTGGGGCAAGGAAGTGCCGGGGCTGGTTCTAACCCTCGCAACTGGGGAAGGGGGAAGGAAACCAGGTGAGGAGCTTTTTTAGGGAGGGTGGGGAGGCCTGTTTCAATGTGATGAGTTTGAGGCATCTACGAGCCGGTGACTGGGCAGTTAAAGACACAAGCTTGGGTCTCAGAAGGAGGTCTGCCTGGAGGTGGCGTCCTTGGCCCAGAGATGGTATCCTGGGGAGGAAAAGAGCCACCACTGCCAGCCTGAGGACCAAGATGGGATCTGGCAAGGCCAAGGATGCAGTGCAGCCAGGGAGGTGGGAGGCAGCTGAGGAGGTGTGGGGGATGGTCAAGCACTGCAGGGCGGGCAGTCCCATGTCATTCACTGGTTCAGCAGCTGGGGCAGTGTCAGGATATACATGCACAGGAACAGAAACGGGGCTCACAGGTGGTGGGGAGAGCATCCCAGGACATGGCACCGGGCCTCGTGGCACAGGAGGGCCATTTCTGTGGTGCTGGCAGTGAATGCAGGTGCGAAGTGGGGACCGTGCAGTGACCACTGGCTTTGGAGGCCTGATTCTCAAGAGCGGAGTGAGGTGAGGGAGGTTAACCCTGATGGGAAGAGGCTGAGGAAAAGGAAGAGGGTGGGGGCAGCACAGGCTGCTGGCGGGATAGAGCAGGGGTTGGCACCCGCCTCTCCTCGCCTTGGGAATCCTGGCCCCTGGTAAAAGAAAAAATCAAGAAAAGAAAAAGGCCAACTAGCATAAGGGAGCTTGCCATGAAGAATAGCCCCTGCTCCCCAGCCCCGTTGCACTCCCAGGGGGGCGAGGGCAGGACAGATGGGGCCCGTGCAACCCTCATGCTCATTGACAGGGTCTGGGGTGCAGAGACTGAGGGGAGTAAGGAAAGGCACCCTGCCCACCTCACGTGCTGCAGGGGTTTCTCCCAGATCATTATTTTTCATTTTGCTTATGGAATTATGAGGACTAGAAGTTATATTTCTATGTAGTCAAATCTATTGATGATTTTAATTTGTAATTTCTTCCACTGCTCTTAAGCTTTCAGTATTTTGTCTAAAATTTTGGCAGATCTTCATTTTCTTGTCTTTCTTTTTTAAAGCACTCGCATCTCATTCGCCGTTCCCATATCTGCTGGAATAACACTTCTAACAATCTAACCTAAAGTTCTTGGCATTCGTTGCCTCTGGCAACCGGGCAGTTCCGTTTTCTGTTTCTGTTGTGTGTGCTTGCACACACATTCCTTTACTGTGCCAGGATCAAAAAGAAAGAGATGAGAGGTTATGAGCTCTGAGGATATTGGTAGCGATAGTAGGGGTGGCATCTGGCACCTCACGCTTCCTGGTTTGGTCAGCGAGGAGACTGAGACAGCTTCCTTGTTCAGGGACGTGGTGGCTGTGCTGTGGCTGCCATCCAGGCTCCTGGCCCTGACCCCATGGCACAGTGGCTGAGACGCCCGTGGATTGAATGAAAGAAAATGGCTGTGGGGGTGGGGTGCTGAGCACACACAGTAGCTTCAGGAGAAGAGTCCCAGAAGAGGGGCAACGCGGTCCTTGAAAAGCATTCAATATTGTCTTCAAGATGGCTGCGGAACAGTTTCTCAGATGCCTAAACTACCGCAGAGCAGCTTAATCAGAATCTCAGAGATGGAAACCAAGATTCTCTTTTTCCTTTCAATTCAGCAGGCATTTCTTTTGCAATTTCAACACGAAGGGCAGCTTTTAGGTGCAGTTTTAGGAGCTAGACACACAAAGGACCCACAGGCTGGCCCTAGGAGCTCCCCCAGCTGCTCGGCCTCGGTGGGGCACAGGCAGTTGGCTGAACATGTCTCCCTCCACCACTGAAACATTTCCTGCAGTTACCAGAGGCCAAGGGGCTCTGTGCTAACATATATTTTTGTTAAAATTGTTTTTTTTAATTGAGGTGAAACTCACGGAACATAAAAATAACCATTTTAAAGTGAACAATTCAGTGGCACTTGAGACAGAGTATTGTCAACCAGCACCTCTATCTATTTCCAGAACGTTTTCATCACCCAAAAAGGAGGCCCTGTCCCTATCATCAGTCACTCCCCATTGTCTCCTGCACAAGTGCCTGACAACCCTCACCTGCTTTTCTGTCTCTATGGATTTGCCTGTTCTGGACATTTCATGGAGATAGAATCATACAATATATCGCCTTTTGTGCCTGGCTTCTTTTACTCAGCGTAGCATTTTCAAGGTTCATCCACATTGTAACCTATGTCAGTGCTTCATTCCTTTTTGTGACTGAGTAATATTCCACAGTATGCACTTACTGGTTTTTGATTATCCATTCATCCATTGAGGGACGTTTGGATTGCTTCCGCTTTGGCTGTTGTGAATGATGCTGCTGTGGACATGCATGTACAACCACTATCTTTGAAAGCTCCCAGAAGCTCCACTCTGCAGCAGTGCTGAGAAGCAGGATGCAGAAGCTGATCTTTTCCCTGCCCAGGGAGTGCTGCCGAAGGCTCCCGATCCCATCCTTTTTTACCGTGGACAGTTCTCCATCTCACATGCCAGCCCTGAGGTGTGCATGCCCAGCTGTCCTCCATCTTTATGGAGTTTACTTTGTTTTTACTCACCTGTGCAAGAACTGGTTTATCAGAATCCAGATTCTTCTTGTTCCCATGATTAATCCACCTTAGCTAAGATGACATCACACACAAATCGATATTGAGAACAGCTAGACAGTTATTGTCGATCTTCACAATTTTTTAGGATTTGTTTTCAATTCTCTGAAATTATAGAATGGTAATTCAATAACCAGTTCAGTGGGATGAGGGTAAGTTGATGTTCAAATTATGAATGCTGGAAGTACGCTGGCCTGTGGGTTGTTAGCACCGGGACATGTTTTTCTCAAACGTGGTCACTGTGAGCTCTCCGGTTTTCTCTTCCCCTAGGCTGACAACAGCCCTGATTCTAAAATCTGCTTCTATGACGTGGAAATGGACACGGTGACCATCCTTGACTTCAAGACAGGACAGATTGATCGGAGAGAGACATTGTCCTTCAATGGGCAGGAGACTAAGAAGTAAGACTGGGTTTGCGAAGACTATTGTTGATAAACGATGCTCGGTCACTTGTCAGCTTTTAGGCAGGTTGTTGGCAGAGTCATACTTTAAACTTCAGAAGACCTCAGCAGTTACTAGCAGTAAAAACAAGAAGGGAAACCGGGACACCCTAGGGCGGCTGGGACAGATCTGAGTCTTTAATCTCTGTTTTCCAGGTTCTAAGGTTCTGGAATTATTGGGTAGAAATTTGAGCTTCTGGAAAGGCTGCAGTGTATACAAAAATGGCCCGAATCACAGGGTGGAGAGGAGTGCGGTGAACCTCAGACCTGCCAGCGTCTCTAGTGGCAGGGAATGTCTGTCTTGGTAGAGAATGTATCTCTAGAAAAAATAATTGTCTTAGGGAGTTCATGTGACATATATTTGTAGTTCCTTCTACCACCAAGAAATCTCCGTAGGACTCCAGTGCTTGTACTGTTCCACCTACAGTTCTCGTTTGGTTCTGTGTCGAGTGACGCGTGAGGCAAAAGGAACTGCTCAGAAGGACGCAGGGGTTGACTCCACGCTGTCACTGTGGCAGCAGCGTGGCCGCGCCCGGTCAGATGTATCAGCGGTAAATGCAGAGCAGAAGAGCCTGGGTCGACGGTGCCCACGGGAGGGCAGCACTGACAGGGATGCGGGCACCGGTGCCTCAGCTCCTCTACAGCCCTGCTTCCCCGTGCAGCCTCACCCACACGTTCCCACCTCTCTTTGCCTCGGAATCCTTTTCCAGAACTGTCTTTCACCTGGTGGCTATAGCTCGCACGTGCTAGTGGCCCCACCTGAACACATTCGTCTTCACTTCTCACCTCATTTAGCTCCACTTCTGTGTCTTCGGAATGTCCCTTGAGTGTCTTGCCGTCACCTCAGAAATCCACCCTCCTTCAGCCTTGCTCCCTGATGCCCATTCTCGCCCACACCCCTCTCCTTGGTCACCTGGTCCAAAACAACAGAGCCAACCTCGCCTTTCATCCCGCTCTCCCTGCCTCTAATCCCCAGTCCTGCTTGTTTTGAATGTCTCTCAGAGTCATGCTTTTACTTCTCAGGAAGCTGGGGAGCCTCTGAGTTGCGTCCTTGTGTCCACCCGCCCCCTCACCAGGCCAGTCCTGCACTACCCCTGGCACTCAGTGGGTACCCAATAAATGCATCCGTCTACACCTCCAAGCGTATCTCCCGCCCTGCCTTCGGCTCAGTCCTGGAACAGGACGTGTTGGGCATGGTGACATCTGTGAGGGCTGCTGGTTTCCTGCAGGGTCGGGTCCCCGTGCTCTGACTTGTCACCTTCCTCCAGGTGGTGGTCAAATGAGACTGAGTCTTCTGTCAGATGCCTGCCCTCTTTTGGGATCTGATCCATTCTTTGCCACTCGACCCATTTTGTCTCCTACAGTAATGCATTCCAGTCTGGGCCTGTGCAACACAGACTTTTAGAGGTGGGAGAGACCAGGGGTAAATGCAACACAGCACACAGGGTCACGGCTGGGATGGGAACCCCAGCCCTGACCGCTGGGCCACAGCGAAACCACCCAGCAGGGGGCACCATCCCGCTGTGAGGTCTGCCCGCTGGTCCTGGGAAAGGCCGTGGGGACTTTCCATGGGACCTCCAGAGGCGAAGCATCATATTCTGTCTCTCTCCAACTAGACTCCACTAGGACTCTTTCAACCAATTTTAAATCTGAAAGACCATAATCAGACAGGCGGCATCGCAATGTGGTGCAAGAAGATGGTGCAAGCTGGGCAGCCAGAGAAATGGAGACCCTGATTGTGTTTCGGAGGTTGAAAGCAGGAACACTCTTCTCAGTATTCAGGATGGGTCTTTCTCTTTCAGGAGCCACGCCTTTGCAGATGAGAGACTGACCAATCTCATTCCCGTGAGCCATTTCTGGGATCAGAGCGAGCCCAGGCTGTTCGTGTGCGAAGCTGTGCGGGAGGTGCCGGGAGCCCAGCTGCTGCCCACAGACAAGAAGCCACACGCCGAGGATGGCGCAGGCCCCTTGGTACCACAGTCGCTGCGACGCGGTTGTGCTTAGACGCGTGGGGACTTTAGACATGGGCTCAGGACCTTGGTTTATAGGAAAGCTGTTGAGAAATTCATTCCCGCAGAGCAGAGCATCCTCTGTAGGAGGCATGCCGTCCCTCTCTCCGCTCTGGGTTTGTACCAGGGGGCGGCCCCACCCTTTCTGTCGGGTCTGACTCACCCTGTCTACTTCAGTTCTCCTTATCTCAGCTGTCACGTGTTGTTTCTCTCGAGGGCAGAGCCCTGTACTGAAACAGTTAATATGAACGAATCCCTTGATGGGAGTACCTCCTGCACTGAGCTGCAGAGGCAGCATGCCGACTCCTCATTCATTTCCTCCAACAAGGTCGATTGCCACTGCAGCGGCCTTCTCGCATCGGTCACTGCCCTCCACTCTCGCCACCACACTCCCCAGCTCTGCAGGGCCGCCTGCCCTACACTGACGACTCTCTGGGCCCCGTCTCCCTCTGAAGGGGCCGGGAGTCTGACACTTCTCAAGACTTGTGTGCTGCGGGGCATCCGGTGTTCCCTGGGAAGCCCAGCAGTCTGCCGTGCCTCTCTGACCCACCTTGTTCCAAGAGGGGCTTCTAGGTAGGGCCCTCAGTAAGTCAGCAAGGACAGCCAGCCCTGTAACTTCAGGGGGCTTGTCTCCCACCAAAGGAATTTCCTTCCGGGAAGGTAAGAGTTTGGGCCCCAAGATTATCAGCAGTGACCACACCCTGAGATTCTCAGAAGCCAGGCCGGTCCTTGGTTCCAAAACACTGAGTGGTAAAATGTATTGAGGTGGCATCTCTCTCATTGGAGTGGGAGAAGCGAAGACATGGCCAGAGGAATTTTCTTCAAGGTAGAGGGCCTGGTGACAAGTCTAGGCAAGCAGTAAGGACCTGCAAATTGGTAAGGAGTGAAGGATGAGGGAGTGCACGTGTGAAGGGCGCTTCCTGGCAGCTTGATCAGGTAGCCCTTTGGTCTTGGTGAGGAAGATGAGAAATGGTAAGAATTCACGCACAAGGGGAGGCCCTGGCACCCTCGGCCTCCTGTCTGTTTCCCGTTCAAAGGGACTGTGGGTGAGGCTGCTGCTCCGAATCACATGCAACAGGGTGCCGAGAGAACCAAGCCTCCTCGTGTGTCTTCCCTGTACCAGGAAAGCAGAAGAGAGAGTCTTTTTGTCATCATTGCCCTTGTTGATTTTTAAATCAGATTTTTAAAAATGGAAGGGAGTATCTTTCTTTTTTTAAATTTTTATATTGTCTACCAACTTTTTTCGTTTTATCTCCCTAAGCCCCCCGGTACATAGTTGTGTGGGGTTTTTTTAGTTGTGGGTCCTTCTAGTTGTGGCATGCGGGATGCCGCCTCAGCATAGCTTGATGAGCGGTACCATGTCTGCACCCAGGATTTGAACCGGGGAAACCCTGGGCTGCCGAAGCAGAGTACATAAACTTAACCACTCGGCCACAGGGCTGGCCACAGGGCCGGCCCCAGGCGGTAACTTTTAAAACTGAGCTCTTTTGAGTTTCATTCACCAACTCTGGTAGGAATGATTAGTCTTTGCTACGAGAAAATCACGCAGTGAGAAGGGTCTAGTGGTTCTCAAAGCTAATGAGGTGCATCCTTCCAGAGGATGTATCAGTTTTTCCAGAGTGCAGCAGATTGCAGTGGAGACCGGTGTGGGTGCCACATGTCCTGGGGAGGAAAGCAGATTCTCGGTGTAAGAGTGTGCTTGGCCCTCTGTTTTCTCTGTGTTTTATGTAAATATCTTAGCAACAAAGATAGGAATTAGATGCAAAATAGAAAAGTATATCAATGAATTAAAAACAGAACATTTCCCCTTTCCCAGGCGGACGTATTGATTCTGTCCTTCTTCATTTCTGAAGAGCACGGCTTCTTGCTTCAGGAGAGCTTCCCCCAGCCTCCCACCTTCCAGACTCTTCTGGGAATTGAAGTGCCCCATTACTACTTCACAAGAAAGGTGCGAGTGAGGGGTGTGGGGGGTGGGAGGCAGTCCTCCTGGCCGCACCAAGGAGCTGCAGTGGCTGCGGTGGGAGTGTGCCCTCGGGCTGCCACAACTCACCTCTCATTAAATAAGGCAGACCATCTGCTCTCATTTGTCTCCTAAAATTCTAGCAAATGTGAGGTGTCCCAAGTTAGGAGAATTACCAGATATGGCTTTGCTCTCAGGACAAAGTTGTCCTCACAGGAAGCGTCCTCCCAGATTTCCCCTGAAGGCACCATGCCCTTCAGCTTTCCTCTTGTCTTTTTTTATTCTAGCTACCTTTTGCAAATTATCTAGTCCTGTATCCACTGTAGGGAATTTAGAAACAAGAAATAAAGACCAAAGAGGATCTCCAGAGTCCCATCCCAGAGATGGCCACAGGGACCAGCCTCGCATGTCACCTTCCAGGAGGTTTCTGTACTTACCCATGTGTGTGCACATTATCTACACGGGCGGGTTTTAGCACGTGATAGACGGGGTCGTTTTTGGCACACACAGGCACACCCCCGCTGGGTTATTTTGGACAACTTACTTGCCTTCCCTGAACTTGGTCTCCTCATCTCCGTGGCCCTTGCTCTGTGCTCCCTGGCTGCTCCGTGATTTGTGAACATTATCTGACTAGTGTGTGTGGGTCTCTGGCTCTAAGGCTCTGCTGGAACTTCATGTGTAATGGTGTACGTGTTGAAAACAACAATCTGGGCATGATGGGGTAACGTTTTCCCTAGTTCACCACATAAAACAACATGGCGTGGCCACTGGAGGTTGGCACAGTGAGCAGTTGGTGCCCTGCACCTTTACTTGTGTTAAAACCGAGTCACCTTTGTGACGATCGGAAACAAGTTCATGTGACTCCAGATTCTGGAGTCCCGGAGCTCTGTCGATGCCCATAGAATAATTCCCTCATTTTAAATGGATTTGTACCACAAGACTGACATTTTTTTTTTAGTTTCATTCTTATTTAGTGCTCCTTATGCATTTTCATTTCTCTTTGATTTGAGAACTCAAAAAGTTGTGAAAGAGCCTTTAAATTCTTTCTGTTGAGTTTCCCCCGTGATTTTCACGTCCTGGACTTAGGTTTCTCATGCACGTTTGTGCGTCCTTTCCTTCTCTCTCTCCCTCGTCTCCCTCTGCACCCCCTCTTGTGGTTGTCCCGGAGAGGAGGCGTGTGAAATGACATGGCAAGTACGGCTCCCCCCTTAGCACCCGTCACCTTCGGGGCGCTGACTCTGCACCTGCTTGCAGAGCCGCTTTGGCCAGGTTGGTCGGGAGCCTGAGCCTGTGTCAGCTGTCTTTACTGGAGCGGCAGGCGCACGTCGCTCAGCAGAGTTCTCGTCCTGGCTCCACGGATGGCATGAACCGTCTGTCACCCAATGTCTGTGGTGCAGGAAATAGTTCCTTTACCTGCATTTGTAATATGGGAAATCTTATTAATTTGACCTCTAGCCATAAAATGTTGTGTTTCTTTAAAAGCTTCCCTTCTTCAGATTACTGACCTGTATTCAGGTCCCTCGGGCCAGCGTCCCAGAGGTTCCCTGTCCTCACACTCGAGGGTGTGGATGACAGTCAGACTGCCCTGGGTCCCCAGCTCCTGCGTGTGATGGGGGCACGTAGCTCAGTCCCTCCCTCACAGAGCTGTGACAAGGATCCAAACCGAGAGCGGAGGCGAGTGAGTGGGGCAGGTGGCATGGTGAAGCACAACCCACGGGTGCCTTGTTTCTGTGAGACTTCCCGAGAGTGCTCACAGCGTGCAGCGTTCTGATTAGAACTCACTATCACATCCACAGCAAGGCTGATGGAGGTCAGGCCTCTGCCCTGTGCTTTGTTAAGACAACAGGCAGCAACTCCCCCAGTCGATTTTGTGTGTGCACATTTTCTGAAGGTTTCCCACTCAACGCCAAGTCAGTCCAAACTCTGCACACTCGGCCTCCTGCCTGGTGTGACCCAACCTACACACGGCCCCCACCCCTTAATTTAAGCTGCCCTGGACATGGGCTGCCGCAGGGCCTTTGTTTATGCTCTGCTCTGTGCGTGGAAGGGTCTCACCATCCACAGCTGTGTCTCACAAATCCTAGCAGTGTTTCAAGGCCCAAGTCAAGTGCCCTCTGAAGTTGGGGACCGCAGGTGAACTTCAGAAGGAGCAGTGAGATGGAAGAGCTGCTGGGGCCTCAGCTGGGGTCAAGGGGTGGAAGCTAGCCTCGAAGAAGTCACCGAGGACCAGCAGATACAAGACCGGTGACTTGCTGGGGGCGCTGGGTCCAAGGAGGGTGGATCACGACCCGCCTTTACACAGGGGAGCATGTGCATTGGAGAAATGAAGCTGCAGAGGGAAAGAAGATGATGCAAAGCACAGAGGGTGGTGGGTGTGGGCTCCAGCCCAGAGGAGAGCGGTGGGGCATGTGAGCAGAGAGCAGCACCCAGCAGGGAGGAAGGGATCTGACATTTGAGGATGATGAGGGTGTCGCCCCCTCAGGAGGTTGTATCTCAAGGTGCCAGGTATCAAAAGGCCTCAGGAGGCCAGCCCACGCTATAAAATCGCACTCGTGCTGGGAGCATAGGGTGCTCTTCCTCTGCTCGCGTCTGTCTGGGGAGCCCTGCACCAGCTGACGGCCCTTCTGAGAAGCACCGGTGCAGGGGACGGCACACCACTGATCCAGGTGCTCGCTTTGGAAAGTTCTGCCTGAATCATGCTGGGCTTACTTAATTTTAAGACTTTGTGCATATGTACATGTGTCTGACTAGACAGTAAAGACTCTACTTTACAAAACAAACCTGGGAGGTGGGAATTTTCATAGCCATTTTTAACTGTTGAAATGTTGGCATTAGTGCCTTAGAGCCTGAAAGACGGGCTCCTGCACAGACCACCTCATTCATCTGCTGTCTGAAACCAGAGCCACAGCTCTGATGACTTGGAATGATGACAGACTCTCCTTGCACTGAGCAGGGCCTGTTGCTGAATATCCATGTCTGTCTGCAGAGGGACCCCCATTGCTGATACACGTTTTGAGGAAGAGACTTAGTGTAGGCATTAGCTTTATGTGAATTGACGAATAAGCAGTACCTTTTGTCCCTCAGCCAGGAGAAGCAGACAGAGAGGACCAGGTGGATTCAGGGTACCACCGCATCCCCCAGCTGGTGGGCAGGAGACCCCTGCGAGACTTCGTGGGGCTGGAGGACTGTGACAAGCCCACTCGGGACGCCGTGCTCAACTTCAGCTTCTTCGTCACCGTCGGAGACATGGACGAAGCTTTCAGATCCATCAAGCTCATCAAAAGGTGAGAATTTTGTTCCCTGAGGTCTCAAAGGGATGTGCACGCCTCTTAGATTCTGGACTTTCTTTGTGTCTCTCTTCTCCTACAAAATGGGATTCTACGAATCATTAAGTCTTCTGTGACTACATTATGGTGTGTTTCACAGTCTTTTCACTCAATGCAACGTTGTTACACCTGCAGATGCCAGGACGCACCTGGCACATTGTATGCACAGCAGGTTTGTTTTGCTGCAGCACAGCTGGGCATGGGGAGCAGATGAGCTCAGCTCTCGGCCTCTGCAGTGGTGGAGCCTCTTGGGGTGTTATTTAGTTGTTTTGATTTATTTTAAAAGTGTTCTGGACACTTGCTAGTCAAAAGTTGTGCAGTTGCTAAATATTTGGAATACCTGTCTTTCTGGGAATAACTGCTACCAAACAGAAAAAGTTTGGATAATAAACATTCAAAACAGTATAGTGAAAACACAATTAAAATTGCTCTAAAAGAAGATTTCAGGGGCCGGCCTCGTGGCCAAGTGATTGGGTTCGCGTACTCCGCTGCAGCAGCCCAGGGTTTCGCTGGTTCGGATCCTGGGCACTGACACGGCACCGCTTATCAAGCCATGCTGGGGTGGCATCCCACGTGCCACAACTGGAAGGACCCACAACTAAAAATACACAACTATGTACTGGGGGGCCTTGGGGAGAAGAAGGAAATAAATAAAATCTTAAAAAAAAAAAAGCATTTCAATCAAGGGCTGTCTACAAGTGGCTTCTCTGTCCTGAGAGAATTCAGTTCTTCCCAAGAGCATTCATCAGATTTCAATCTCCGAAGAGTAGAAAAAGTATTGAAGAATGAGGCCAGAGTGGAAAGAGCAACATGGAGATTAAGTTGCCTGGAACAAGGCCCTCATTTGCGGTGATGGTGTCTGTAACATAGAAGCACCTTTCAAGATAGCACGTGACCCCTAGTCTGTTGTGTTATTTCTGAAACAGCACAGCCAAACCTTGTTCCCGTTGGAAGGGCCTTTCCGTCACTGGCCCCGTGGACAGGAGGACTCCTAGCTTGAGATGGGTAGCCGAGCACTTGATGGTGCAGCCCAGCTCTCTCTGACCGTGCCTCTTTTCGTGTAAACCCGATCACAGACTGACTGACCACATGGCCAGCTTTAAAACTTTAATGTACATATGTAGTCATATACATAATTTTATTAAAATTGTACATCTTATGTATTCCATCATTCTTTCAAAAAACAATTATTTTTAGCATATGATTGGGAAAATCCAATGTAAGAAAGAAGCTCAGTGGGAGGAAGGTCCGACCTAAATGTTCCATGAGTGTGCTGGCTGCAGGACAGGAATCTGGTTATCTCTGCACTGTGTGTGCTGAGTCTGTTGGAGATGGTAAGGCCATAGATGCTTCTGAATCATTCTCAATCACTTTCTGTTTTTTAAAGCACTGACCTCAATCCACCATTTGTTCTGACAGAAGACAAATTTCTGGGGTGATACAGGCTTCAAATTCCAGGCTGGCCACCTCACATTCTCTGAAAGGTTGAAAGCCACAAAGCTAAATGTTCCTTAGCAGAGTCAGTCTGGTGTGGGGGAGGCAGGCAAGTGGCCCCGGGTCTGACCCTGGCTGTGCCACCCACTCCCAGTGTCAGTTTGCTGGGCTGGAGGATGACGAGAGTGACTCCTGCCTCCAGGTGGCGTGGGTCAAGCAGTGCAGCACACGGGAAGCGTCTGGGCCTGGTGCTTCGCGGACTGTCCTTGGAGATGTGGTCAGGTGGTCCCCAGTCCTGGGTCCATGAGGGCATGGTCCAGTTTGAAGCCTTGGGATGCAGCTCTCGGGTGTTTTCTGTTCAGCCTAGGGGTTACGGCTTACCCACTTCTTACGGGTTCAGGCCCAGGGTGTGTGGCATCAGTGCAGTATCCTGAAGGCCTTCTGTGGCCCACCAAGCATTTGCTGAAGATAGGTTAAAGATTTTTCTAGGAGAAAATAAACCAGTCTCTCTGAATTTTTTTTAAACAATTAGACTTTCTCCCTCTTGCTCCCCCAACTGTGGATCTGCTGTCAGGCAGCCCCAGTCCAGAGTGTGCAGGAATGTGGACTTGGAGGCTCAGTGAGTGGAAGCGTGAATCTGCATGAGTGCCCCCAGCTGTGCTCTCGCCAGCTCTTCAGACTGCTTCAACCTTCTCCTGCTGCCCGCCCACAAAAGTGACAGTAAAATGGACCCAATTCTTGTCACCCATGTGGTAGTGTAGAGGGATAAAACACAAGTTTTAGACAGTGGTAAGAGGTTTGCATTTTATTTTAACTTAGAAAATAATGGGGAGCAAACGGACGTTGCTAACACGACCCTGTCACAAAGCTGTAACCATCTGGTTATAACTCTGAGTCTCTCGAGCAAGAACATGGACAGTTCAAGAAATCTTCTCAGGTCCTCCACTTTACCAAAGTAAATGTGACCAGGGACACCCCTCTCAGCAGATGCAGAATAAATTAATCCCAGACCAAGGTGCAGAGCAAGGCGGCCCCGCCTCCTGCGTGCGTCTCCGGTGCTCGTCTCATCCTCGGGATGGGCGAGAGTGTGAAGCCGAGTTGTGGGTGTGTCAGAAGGAGGGTGGCACAGACGATATATGATCATATAATATATTTATATATAACACAATAAACATACCTGTGTATTGTACATATTTATATATAGGAAACCAAACAGATCACCGCAGTCCCTCAGTTTCTAGACTGTTCCCTTATATGGATAAAGTCCTGAGCAGGCCTCTCCCCAGGGACGCTCAGCACGGTGACTCCACATAGTCATTGTCCAGCCCACGGCGAAACCGCGCAGTCAGTGAGCGGCTGATGACAATCACCCGGGGCCCCATGCAGTCCTCTCTCCTGTGAAGAATGTTCCAGATGAGCATGGCAGCTGCCAGAGTGGCCAGAAGGCAGGCACCAATGTTCAGGTAGCAAGACCAGGACAGGTTGGTATATGGGCCGATTCTGTAGAACGTCACCAGCCCGATGACCAGGACAAAACCTGCAGACAGAAGAGAAGTGTTCAGAAAGCCTTACTGGGAGCCAGGAAAGGGCCTGTGGAAACCTGTGACGTGGGGACCAGGCACAAACACAGCATCTGTTTCCTTCCCTGCCCCCTCAGTGCTCCCCAGTGGGCCACGAGCCCAGTTCGTGGTACTGTTGCTTCAGCGTTGAGCTGCATCTCGTTGGGCCTCTGTGGGTTTCCTGACCTTTGGGTCTGGTGGCCGTGGAGGGGTGTTGTGTGTTCACTCAGTCCTGGCATGGAATAATTTCTAGGGGGCCCTGTAAGAAACCGGTGTGGTCCTGGTTTGCTCTTCTGTGACCTGCCAGGTGTCAGGCCATTTTCTTAGTTCCCCTTTGCACGGAGGTGTAGCTGACACTCACTTCCCCTCACCTCCAAACAAACCCAGTAGTAACTGTGGCAGGGCCGCTCTGACTTTATAAACACTTAAATTGTTCGAGGTGAAAGTAAACACAGAAATTTTTAAAATCTTACTGGAAACAAGCAGACTGGTATTTAACTTACTCTGAATTCCTGTTCTAAGGAATTTTCTTATTCTTAGCATTTGCTTCTAGAGGAAATAGAGATTTTCTTTCAAAACTCAAGACAGCCTAGGACTGCACCCTTAGGGAGGGGGCAGAAGCCTAGACTGGAGACATGTCCAGGTCTCCCGCGGGCGTTTGGTTTCTCCTCTCACTTCTGAGCAGATGCATCTGGTTCTGGAATTTCCGTCTCACCGCACACCCCCATCTCTTGCTTATTTTCCCTCTCTACCCTTCTCTTCTCTCTCCCAAGTCTGACAGCAGGGAAGGAGAGGGGCCATGCTAGGACTGGACAGGGTCCTGCCTGACCTCCGGGAGCACGCTTGTTCACGTTCAGTGAGTAGTTAGTACCACGGCCTCGTTACTTTTATGGTTTTATCTGTAAGGAGCTGCAGAGACTAGATTTTATTAGTTCCTATAATACGAAAACCAGGATTTCATGCCCAGGATCTGTCGACCAGGATAACAGGGCGCTGATGTTTGGTGGTGTTCCCTTCTGGATCTCGTCTGGAAACCTCAACTGCTGGGACGGAGAAGGAGATGCCACCACCATCCTGCTGCCACGTCCCTCCTCGTCCCCCAAGACCATCACACCCCTTGGCTGGGAGGGGCTGGATGAGCAGATGAAGCTAAAAGGAGCTGTGGGGTCCAGTGGGGGCCGTGGCTAGCAAGAATGAGGAGAGCTGGGCAGAAGCAGAGGCCTGGGCAGCAGGAGCCCCGTCTTTCCCCCCCAGCACCCCACCCTCTGCTGTGTTGACCTGGCTGAGTCTGTTTCTTGGAACCTAAAATACCCAATGAGGACAAAGGCTCTCCACAACCCAGAACGGCTCAGATGGAACTCCCTGGCCTCTCGGACCCGTCCACATCTCCTGCCCTGGGCTCCAAGCAGGCCAAGCTGCCCACTGTGGTCCCTTTGCCAGCCCTGCACTGTGACATCCGTACGTCTGTTCACGCTGGTCCCTCCACTCCCCACAGCCTCCCCTGCTTTCCTCAGGAAACCAGATCATGCATGACCCAGCGTGGCCCCAGAGCAAAGGGCAGCAGCGTGCCAGATAATGGTTCTAGTAACTGTTAGAAATCAGTGCCGGGGGTGGGGACAGGCTTGAGTTTCTAAAAACATAAGCATTATGGTCTCATCATCACAATACCTCCCAGAAAATGTGAATTACACAGTATGTGCCTCGGTCGTGTCCTAAACAATGATGATGGTGACGAATCTCTATGTTAATTCTCTGCAGTACTTTGTGGAGCTTTTTATACATGGAAAGCTTCTGGATACTTCCTTTCTGTTAAAAATAACTAACTCTGTCATGCACATATACTGACAAAAAGAAAATTCTGGCATTTCTCTCTCCCAGTGCAGAGTGCATCCTCTGCTCACAATGTTGTGGCACTGAGTTTTGTGTTAATAGGGAAAGGAATTAGAGCCTGTGATGAAAATGAAAATACTTTTTATGTCCCTTCGTTTTTACTACATCTTTGGGCAATTTTTGCCAACCAAAGGAGCATGTTATGCCTTGTTCAGCAAGACCCTGAAGGATGGGGACAGGACGGGAACATCGGGGGAGTGCATGAGGATGCCAGCATGGGTCTGAGAGGAGGAGAAAGGACAGCAGGGCCAATGGGCGCCTTTGGATGGGGGAGACATGCCAGCGGTGCGGTATGGAAGACCATCACAGCTAGAAGGAATTTACCCAAACAGCAGCAACTGGTTGGCGTCAGGTGCCTGCCCCAAGGAGGGATACAGATGCCCACCCTCTGCCGTGGTTGAAGCCTATTTTCTCCCTTTTACTAAGCTTCCTTTCAGTTTGTCTGTGTTACAGGAACGCTTTCAAAATCTGCTATGTGGCTTTGGTTCCAATTCCACAGCATCATTCATCAAAATGGAACAGTGTGAAAGAATTAGGCCTTCCCACGGTCTCCAGGGCACAGCTCAGTCAGTTGACCTGGTGGGGGGCGGTGTTTACATCACTGATGAATAAAGAGAGGACCTTGAATTTCACTGCAAGACATTTTAGTGGAGACTTGTGAATTATGAGAACTGGATTGAAAGAGGTGACCCCAAACTGGAAAGGACTAAAATGCACTCATTCATCAGACTGGCCAGAATTAGAAAAGGAGAAAGCACCAAGTGGGGTCCTAGGCACGAGGCAGAGGGGACCCACCTGCCCTGAGATGGAGCTCACTGAGCACAGCCTCTTGGGACAGTGCCGTGCTGCCCTGGGACCTGCGGTTCTGCTCCAGGATTGCAGCCAAGTGAAACCCTCGCCCATCATGGGAAACACGGCCATGGCCCCAAATCAGCAGCATCCGAAATGTATGTCCACTGGAGATGGTGAGCTGCGGACAGGTGCTAGGATGCATGGGCAGCACCACACAGGGCGAACCCTGCAATGGTGGTGCCTGAGGCAGAGTGGCCAGGGACACACAGGACTGCTCCTCTGTGCACAGTTCCACTAGGCTCAGCCATCAGGACGCCTTTTAGGAAAACTTGGGGAGGAAATGAAAGTATAAAGAAAACCGGGGGGCAGCTGACTCAAGCACAGGACAGCAGTTCCCCCGGGGGCGCCAGGGCGCAGCAGGGAGGGGCGCGGGGACTTCTCAGTGTTCATCTCCTTTGGTCTTCAGTAGCACATGTGTGTTTCATTGAGTCCTTTGAATGTATAGTCACAATAAGATGTTGAGAATGTTTTCGAAATGCAGCTAACTAAATTCTCCAATTAACAAGAACTTCCCAAAGGTCATCATGATGCTAGCGACAGGCCTCCACATTTGCACATTTCCTGGTCATGCTCTTGGCCTTGTAGGGGACATTAATGCATTTGACACCCTTCAGCCCTCTCCCTCAGCTGCACCGTCATCTTTGTAAGACTCACGCCGTGTCTCCGCACTCAGCATGCCCCCACAACATCTGCTGCCCTAGGACGCACTGCAGACAGCACACCCTGGCCTGGCCTGGCCTGGCCTCTCCTCCCCTGCCACTGGCTGCCCCGTCTCCATCCCACTACGGCCACACTAGTCCCGCCTCGCTCCTCTGAGATGCCAGGTGGCACCCTCTCCAGGCCTTTCCGGGTGCTGCCGTCCCTGTGCTTCCTCAGCCCTGGGGAGGGGGACTGCCTCCTGTCCTGTCCTCCTGTCCCTGCTCCTTCAGCGCTCAGCTCAGAGGGCCGGGTCCTGAGTCAGCCTCCTCCAGCTGTTGTCCCTGTAGCTGGAGTATGGCCCACCCATTGATCTTGGCCTCCCAGAGAGTTGCCCAATAATTACTTGTTGAGTGAATTATTTGAGACAAATCCAAATAGATCCCATAATGCAGAATAGAAGGCAATGTGAACCCTGGGAAAGGAGACGTGATGCATAATGGCTTCCACACTCAAGTCCTCTAAGCTGTTGAGTGACCACAACCGTCAGAGGGACAGGACCCCGTTAGCCATGACTGAGTAGATGCCGCTCAGCCTGGAGCTGGTGCTGCTGTGCTGCTGCCTTACAAAGTTAGCAGAAGGGCACGTTGATTCCCAAACCACCCATGTGCAGTAGTCACGTGTGCACATGTTCAGCAGACCAGTGCCTACTCCACTCGTGCTGGGAACCATGCTGGGCATGGCCCACTCCAGGGGCTGAGGCAGGGTTGGTCTGTCCTTGGGAACTGGTGTTGTTCTTGGGGAAATGAAGATGAGGTTAATCCCCTCAATATGGTGTGCCAAGTGATAGAGGCATTCAGGACGAATGGTGTGAGAGTGAGGAGGAGGTGCTGTGCCAGGGAGCGGGACATGGGCTGGGCAAACCCTCCTGGAGGGCGGAGTTGGTCTGGGCCTTTGACATCAGGAGACTCCACGTGTGGAGAGATCACTCTGAACTCCAAGGGGGGAAAATATTAATTTATGGAACCAGTCCACGGTGTTTAGGCAGAGCAGCCGCAGGCTTCCCAACCCCTGGGCAGTGCCAACATGCCATCCCAGCCCTGAGTGGCAGGGGGCCCGGTCACAGGGCAGGTCGCCGGAGACTGCCCTCTGCATGCATCACAGGGTTACTTAACTGTATTGTTACTTATTTTCTTAAGATCAGTACTGTATGTTTTTGAAAATAGAGTAGGCTGTTATTTTGTTGCCATTTCAGTCTGTTTATTACTTCCTCCCTACAATTGGCTGTATTGCCTGCAGCGTGCACAGACTCAGGTTTCAGAGTGTGTAACTGCTTCCAATCAAGAATGCTACTTTAGGGGCCGGCCCCGTGGCCGAGTGGTTGAGTTCGCGCGCCCCACTTTGGCGACCCAGGGTTTCACAGGTTTGGATCCTGGGTGCAGCCATGACACCGCTCATCAGGCCATGCTGAGGCAGCATCCCACATGCCACAACTAGAAGGACCCACAACTAAAAATACACAACTATGTACCAGGGAGCTTTGGGGAGAAAAAGGGAAAAAAAAGAATGCTATTTTTTTGTATCACAAGATGAAAGAACA